TAATTTGAGCCCCACGGCAGATCTGTTCTCAACTCGCCGAGGAGAGGCAGCTCCACGTGTGGGTCTCCCATGGCCCCAAGGAACCCCTAGACTGGGGTAGAAGTTTCCAAGTCCCCCCCCCCGAAGAAAAGAATCGCACACACAACAAGCACCCTTTTGTTCCACCGTCCCTGCTCCCCTCCACGACGGCACCCCACAAAGTCTCCGAAGCCCCCTTCCGAGGCGGCCAGGGCGCAACTCGAGCGAGCAGATTCTTCCTTCCAAAGAGAAACCAAGGCGTATCATAAGCGGATCTCGGGTTTTAAAATTCTAATTAGCGTCTATCGGCACAAGCTCTCCTGTCAACCAAAAGGCCCTGAGAACCGGAGAAAGCTTTCGCAGCGCAAAGGAAGTGGAGTGGAAACATCGCGCCCCGCGGCTGTTGAGCTTGTCCAATGGAGCCAAGTCAGGAGACTCCTGCGTTTGGTGCGGGGGGGGGTGTTTATCGCCTGCCCCCGCCACTGCCTCCCCCCCCCTGCAGCCTACAGAGGACTCCAGGCCTGGCTGCTTCAACTCTCTGCATGTACAAAAGAGCCCAGGGCAATACCCAGCCCTGGCTGATGCGAAGCCTTCCAAGTTCTCGCTTGGAGACAAGAACGAGGAAAGAGCGGGGGGGGGGGTGGAAGAAGAAGCGTGCGTCTGTCTCTCACCACCCCAGGCCAAGAGAAGAGAAACGCTCGGTGGTACAACAAGCAGCTGCGGAGTTGGAAAGAGGAGATAACGCATGAGTGCAAAACAGGGGCAAGAGGAAGGAGGAACCCGCGCAGGAGAACAAAAAGGCCATGCCAGGCCCTGAGGACTGCCTTTTGTTCCTGGAAACTTTCTTAATTGCTGCGTTTCGGGGCAGGGGGAGCTGGGGGGGTCATTTTAGGTCCGTGTTTGCAGTGAAGGAGAAAGGACAGGGAGCTCACACGGCTGTGGGTCCTGGCTGATTCCTGGCTGTTACCAAAGTTTGCGGTAATAATAATTAATTGCAACCGTCCAGAGAGCTTCAGCCACTGAGGAAGGGGTGAGAATATGACTAGCAGTAATAATAATGATACTAATAATAGCAAGGCTAACAAAAGCATGAGCCATGGCAGCAGAAAGTTACACGCAGCGACGGTTCTGCTCATTAGGATACCCCGAATGAATGTTCTGTCCCATGGTAATCGTCGTAACAGGATCTCTTCGCTGCCTTTTCTCCTCTTTTTAAAAAAAGGCTCAGGATGGTTTACAGCACAATTAGAACACAGAATTCCCCCAGTGGATTTCGACGGCTCTTGTTTAAGAGGTCAAGCACTTTTGCGGCTTGGAGTGCAACCCGACGGCCTCCAGCTCGGAAGGTTGAGCTCCTGCCCAGCTCCTCACGGCCAGGACAGGAAGATCGGCGTTGGCTGCACACCTCAGGGCTGGAACTGGGCCTTGGAGGGGGGACATGGGTGTGCTGGAGGTGGGGCCGAGCGGGAAGAGGCCGGGGCCATGGGCTTGCTCCAGACAGTGGTCTCCTTTGCTCCCCGCTTGCCAGGACTGAACCTGGACTGCCAAACCTGGCTCTCCAGAGAAAATGAAATATAGCTCCGGGAACAGGATGCACATGAGCCTCTGCGTTCGAAGGCACGTGGGCACCTGCCCTTGGACAACAGGATGTCGCCCTTAGATTTTACAGACATAAAAGCAGCAGAAAACTACACTGTTGCTGCTCCGTGCCGTCGAGTTCTCTGTAGCTTAAGGTGCCCCTGTGGAGCGAAAGCCTTCCAAGACATCCTGACTTTGGCTGCCCTGCTGAGCGGTTGGAAATGCCAGCCTGTGGCTTCCGGCATGGAGTCAGTCCGTCATGGGCTTCCTCCTCTTTGGGCTTCCTCCTCTTCTCCTGCCTTTGACTTTAACCAGCATGACGGTTTTCCCCAGGGCGGCTCGCCTTCTCACGATGTGCCCGCAGAACACCAGCCTCGGTTGCACCATTTTTGCTTCCAGGGCACAAAAGGGCTGCCTGTGGAAACGGCGCGGGCACCCGACTAACGCGAAAGCAAAATTCAAATTCAAAGCAGCTGTCAGCGAGGACCAGCGCCCTACAGAGCACCTCGTGCCGCTCCTCCACTAGGTATACGGGATACCTGTTGCCACCTGGCCCAATGCAAAGCACTTACGTTAACCTATGAAGCCCTACCTGGAGGGGTGCCGTGTTAACATCTTCCATGGATGCCCTTCCAGGTGAATCCCCCCGCCCTGAAGGAAGCAAAGGGAAAATGACAAAGGGGGGCTTTTCTATTATTGGGCCTTGCCTGCAACTCCCTTCCTAAGGTGTTGCAACTGGCACCCACATGGTTTAGCGTCCATCGCCAGGTGAAGGCATTTCAGTTTCGTACCTGCTTTTTGGATCGTTATGGTTCGATTATGTGTTTTCCCACTGCTTGATTTCACTGGTTATGTGCACTGCCTCTTGTTCCTGGGCTAACAATTGTTATATGACGTTGGATTATTAGCTTTAAAATCTGCGGCTTTTATTTCACATGCAGTTGCTTCGTGCGCTGCCCAGAATGCCCTTGGGCTGTGGGGGGAGCATGCAGGGCTAATGAATAAATAAATAATAAATAAATAAATAAATAAATATGCAAAGAGACGCTTTCAGGCTGAAATGTTGATTTCCTTCTGCTCCCGTCTTCAAGAGCAAACCGGGGAAGCAGCTGCCTCCCTCTCTTATCTCGCGAAAGCGGAACACAGCGCCCTTTTGAGAGTCTATGATCTCTTCCCAGGCGCGTACCCCGGAAAGATGCAAAATCAGAAATTCTACCTTTCTGATGCTCAGAGTTGCTCAAACCGTGCTGTACGGCAAACAGATCACATTGAAGACAACCGCGATGTCTCTCGGAGCCGCGAGTCGTTAAACTGTATGTTTGGGCATGAATAGAAATCTAAAACTCTCCCCACAGCTAAAGGCATCTCTTCTGAGGAAGGAGACATAGTATTTTAAGCCTCTGACACTTCTAATGTACCAAAGCGCCTCCGCTGTTTTGTCGACTAGACTTTTATTGCTACGGCGCAAACGGCTGTCATTGAACTGTTACCGAAGGGCTGCGTCCCGATTGGCTATGCGGAAGGGGCTTCACGTGGGATTCAGCCAATCGGAGGAAAACGGACCCATGAAAATGGGCTTCGGCTTATTGGCTTGCTGGAGTGATTTGAGGGGCTTTTGGCCGGCAGGGGAGACCAAAAGCTTTTTGGCCTGTCTGACCCTCTGATGGACAGGTGAGGATGTGGCAAGGTTTGGGTTACCGGGACGGCTGCAGCTTTGGACGATATCCAGTGGCAGCCCCACCGAGTCGGTTGCACAATAGAAGGTGTCATGCTTCTGGGGACAACCCCTCCCCCCCGCAATGCCTTAAGGGGCAGTTAAGTGGAGTTATGCTGACCCATCCCATCTCGGGAAGGAGTGCTCCACGTCGGCCCCCCGAGTGCCGAATTGCCATGAGGCGGCGCGTGCCCAGCAGAATCATTGGGAACAAAGCGCTGGCACTTCAGTTTGACCGGGACAAGGAGCAGAGCCTTCTCAGTGGTGGGACTGCGGATGCAGAACATGCTACCTGCCAGGACTGGGCCAGCCCCCTTCTTTGTGGAGCAGAGGACGGAAAGGTACTGAACTATCCATCTTTGGACAAATGCAGCTGCAGATATTTTCAACTATTCTTTTCAAAGACTGAAAGTCGTCTGGGGAACTTTCCGTGCAGGAAAGACGGGTGTGCGTCACATGCAGAAGAAGAGCGGCCACGGCAGTGCTTGCAAGTGCTCGATTCCTTCTGCGAAGCTGCCGTAGCCTAACGCATTGGGGTGACCTCTTGCCGGTACTGGGGTAACGCCCTCAGGTTCACCCCGGAAGCCTGAAGCCTCTTTTCAAAAGAACCATTCCTGCCCATTCGACCGGAGTTCTCGAAAAACGCCGGAGGAGATGTGGACGGGTGCAAGATGCCGCCTGCTGTCCCAGGCAAAGGCTGGCGGAGGGGACATTGCCAAATGCCCGCTGAGTGGCAGGCTCGGGGGACTCCTCCGCAGAAGCACCAGGCCCAGAGGGGGACAGCGCCACAGCGGCCCCCACGGCAAGGCAGGCTAGCCCTCCGGAGCACTGCTGAGGGCTTGCCAACGCTGAGGTGGCCTGCCGCTGGGGGGCGCGCCTCCTCAGGGGGCCTGTCTCTAGGCAAGAGGCCCTTGCAGCCGGGCAGCTGGGCACGGACGCTCCTCCGAGGAGCCCCTGTCAGGACTGGGGCTGAGTGGCCCCGCAAGCGCTCGCAGAGCCAGGTGCGCCTTTGTGGGTGCTCACGAGGAACACCCGAGGGGCCGCTGGAGGCCCGGGAGGCCAGCAGAAAAGGCTGCCCCGCAGCAACACGAGTTGCCCTGGTGGCTCCTTCTGCTCTGGCCCCTGCATCGCCGCGCCTTGCTCCAGGTCATTCCTGCCTGGCTCCAGCCCTGCTCCAGTTTGTTCCTGCCTTGCTCCAGCCTGCGCCCTCTCTGCTCTTCCTGTCTTTCCTCTGAGTAGACCCTGCCTCACTCCAGCTGCTACTGGACTTGCAAAGTCTCTCCAGGAAACCGACCCTGGAGCTGTGCTCGGAATCCCCCGCTCCGCGTGCGTGCGTGCGTGCACGCGTGAACTCGGGCCGCCCTCTTCCGTGCCTCTGCCCTGGCCCTGCCGAGTTGCCCCCGGCCCCTGGCCCTGTGCACTCAGCCTGAGCCTGCACCCTGGACGCGGCGTTCTGCCCTTCCCCGCTGCTGCCCCCGGCCGGCTCCCACAGCTGCGGCGTGGCTGGCACAACTTCGGGGCACGTGAACGGGCTGACCTCGGGAATCCCCCCCCCTGCAGCACGCAACTCTTCCAGCCTCTGGCCAACGGGGCCGCTGTTCCTCAGGGGAGGGGGGCAGGCCAAGAGAGCCCCCCCCCCACCCCAGGTGGCGATCCCCGGCTGCCGCAAGTGGCAGAAGCCTCCGCTTACCTGCGATACTGTGATGCTGCATTTCTTTGCCAGCTCCTCTTTGGCTTCTTCGCTGGGGTAGGGATTGCTGAGGTGCGAGTAAAAATACTCATTCAGGATTTCTGTGGCTTGCTTGCTGAAGTTACGCCTTTTCCGCCTGCAGAGAGAAAGGGGCACGCAAGAAAGGGAGGGGACAATCACAACGGCGGGACTCCCTCGGTGCAATCTAGCTAGATCTCTGGGGCACTTCCACTTTCTCCAGTCCAGGCATACATCTGCACCCCTTGAGTAAGTCCCCCTTTTTCCCCGGCCTTTTTTCAAAGCTAACCATGCCCAGTGGTTGCAGGTATCCCTCACTGGGGGATTGCTCCAGCCCCCGGATCGTTTTAAGGGCCCGACTCAGCACTTTCCCCAGCTCTACCATCCCTTTCGCTGGGTGCAGTGAGCACGGCTGGCTGGCAAATGCTGTGGATTGAAGGGTATTTTTCTGTCCAAACATGCATAGAATTGCGCCTTTCATGGGAGGGGCCGTTTAGGCTCTGCTTCAGGCCACAGAGTGTCTTGAGACGGCACTGCCACTAACTCAGATCCAGAGGTGCATGGGAAGGAGTCGCCATGTTGCTTTTTATTCCCAAACGATCCTCTTGGAAGGACAGCGCTGTGTTTGTTTTAGCTCGGAATAGAAGCAATCCAAAAAGAAATGCTAGCCAAGTACTGGGGATGGTCCAACAGGTAATGAACTGATTTAGTTATTCTATTTCAATTAGCTGTGTTCTGTATTTTGTTCCAGTCACCCTAAATGTCTTGGGTCGGGCGTGTTCTCCTTCTTTGCTGTGGCGTGTGCTGCTGTGCAGAAAGGTCTTGGATGGGCAGCGCAGGGAGAGCTGTGAAGAGGTCATTAAGCATCAACAGGGAGTGCATGAACTTTCCCAGAACAGTTGCTTTGGAGCCATACCAAGACTTTATGGTCTTCAGTTCCTTGGGAAGTGCACCAGAAAAGAAAAATGCTTTGAAGCCATGTCTCCCAAGTACATTAGATAAGAGCTGCTTTTGGCTGGGAGAACCAAAACTGTTTCCTTTACTGAAGCACCTTTATCTCACCTCTGTTTCCCAGGAAGGGTGAGGGGTTGGATCTGTGTGATAGGAACCTTATAAAATCCATGGCAAGAGGGGCTGTTGGGGAAAAGAATGGATGCATCACTCAACCAAGCAACTTAGATGCCCCTGGCCTATTGACGGAACCAACAAGGTCACAGAGAAATGGAGTCACATTTTCTTTGCCTGTTTATATTTTGCATCATATTTCAATGCCGTGTTCAAACAACTGTGCATCATTCTTGACACAAGTGGTTAGTTTCTCCCTCAGTATCCTCAAATCTAAAGCGAGGATCCTTGATTGGAAGAGGCCCCTGCAGTTAAAATATGTCTGACACTTTTTGAGTTCGCTGAAAATACGATGATACTGAACGCTATCCTATTTTGCACATTCAGCTCCTGCATCGTAATTTTCTGAGTCAGGATCTCCTTCTCCTTTTCGAAATCATGTGAATAATCTTCACATTGTTAAAGGACGTTCTATTAAGCTGCTCCTTCTGTTTGCTCTATATGCATGCACAGTGCTTTCTTTTGCAGAATTCTCTTTAGAAAAGCCCCTTTAAGTATTTTCCCTCCAAGCTCCATTCCCCCTCCAGGCTCGCCACGATCAAACTGCCGAAACCAGAAGACAGCAGCTCCGTGGGGAGTTTCTGTCTGACGCACTGCATCCCATCAGTATCATGGTGTGCTTATCCCCCGGCAGTCGGCCGCTCTCCCTGGAGCCGTGTTTATCTCATTATTCCACTTCCACCTATTTTCATCTCACTTTGTGAGACTTTGTGCTCCGCGAGAGAAGCAGCTTGCAAAATTTCCCTCCAAAAGGGACACTTCCTTTGCCAAGCGCCAGCAAATTCTTTCTTTCGGCACACCTGCTAGTAGCGGGACTCACTCCTCTTGGGAAAGGACAGGACTTGCATCTGCATGGAGGAAAATGACCTACTTGCAGCTCCAGCTGCGAGCAAGGAGATGGTGACCATTTTTGGGAAATGCGCACACACGCCCAGGCTTAGGATCAGGTTTGCAAAACCTGCCCTTTCAGAAAGGGGGTCGGTTTCGAGGCTGCATTTTTCAAAAAGCGCGAGTTTTCACCCTTTGAGAGGGGAAGCACACATTGGCAGCGCACGGGGAAAATCTTTCCCCCCTTCTGCTCAAAACCCTTTGGGGGGTCTTATTTTTAGCGACTGAATCAATGCACAGGAGCCATGTGCTAAGTGAGAATTTTCTCCACGGAGGTCACATGCTTTCCGGATGCTTCCACTGCCCCCCCCCGTCATTGTCGGGAAAGCTGCGAAGCGTTCAGAGGGGCTTTCTCCAAGAAATGCGGGACCAGGAGAACTACCTGAACGACCCCCTTGCCCCTTCAGTGAAATCCTCCGGCATACAGAAGTGTGCACACACGCATACACACCCACGGGGAGTGTTTAAACACCACAACATTCCCCATTTCGGGGAGTCCATACGATAAGAAGAAGTTGTTCAAGTTCAAGCCAAGTCAGCAGCTGCAGATTTTAGCCGCTTCAGGGGGCCAGCAACGCAGCGTGAATAGCCCTCCGCAAGCGTGTGGCCAGGCGGGAGGCATCGTTTTGGCACCGGGACACCTGCGCATCTATGGCAAGTCACTCGGAGCCCCAGGAGTCCCAGTGCCCGTGGGGCCGTGTATCCACCCCATGTTTCAGCCTAGACTTTCACGGTGCTGAAGCCGCACTGACATTGGAGCCCCCAAATCCCACCCTGGCGGGCTATCAAGATGGCTTTGCCTGAGGGGAGGAGCTCGTGCTGGGCCGGCCGCTCCAAGCACGCACCGGCGCGGCCTACCTGGCGTCCAGGAACCGCGATCTCAGGATCATGACGGCTTCGCAAGTGCTTTGTTTGAGCTGCATCTGGATGGAGCTGAACTTCCGGTGGATGATGCCAACCATCCTCTCAATCTCCTTCGGGGAAATGGGCCGTGTTCGACTTTGCTCTCGGAGGAGGTTCATCACGTGCGTGGTGAATTCGTTACAGGCCTAGGGAGGAAGGGGGCAGTTAGAGGGGAAGTTCTGGCTGCTCTGGACGCCCCCCCCCCCACCCCCACCCCCAGTGCTGCACTCCCAGGAGCAAGTCACAAAATCAGGGGATCCTGGCACTTCGGAGAGGCGAGGGGGAGACGTGGCCTGTTTGGACGTCGCTGCTCTGCCTCCCCACAGCCAGAGCTCTGTAGGGCTTCATCCCTTGGGGACATGCCCCCCCCCAATCCCCAAGAAGGCCCTTTGGAGCCCAGGCAGCATCTCTGCTTCAATTGCTACCGGCAAAACTTTGCTGGCCCTCAGAGGAGGCTGTCTGTGCGCCTCTGCATGAGTTCCTCTCCTGGCCTTCCAACCAGCTCAGGCTGGTGTTTCTACTTCCTGCACGACTGGATCGTGAGCAGCAAAGTCGGGGATGCCCCTTGCAGCTCGGCACATGGAACGGCCCAGGACCCCCACCCCCCACCCCCTTATGCATGCTCTGTGCAGGGATTCACACAGAAAAACAAGGGCAAGGAATACTCTCACACTCTCAGAAAGAGAAGAAAGGAAAGGCCCCTTTCAAGTGCTACACAGGAGCTTGCCTTGGACGCAAATGTGGAGAAAGAGTGTGCCATGAAAAGGCTGGGACAGGAACTTGAGCCCGGCTTGTGGGCTGCCCAGAAGCTTCTGTCCGGCTGTGTGGGACAGTGGTCAACCCTGTGGGCACTCAAACGGACAGTCCCCCATGCCGCACGACTCCACACTCCCAGGGAGGGCTCCAAAATTTGCAGGCAGCTGCATTGACCTGGATGAACAACCTGGTTCCTGTAGATCACAAGCTATATTTGAGCCAACAATGTGATGCAGCTGCAAAAAGGGCAAACGCTATTTTGGGCTGCATTGACAGAAGCGTCACTTCCAAAACATGTGAAGTCCTAGTTCTCCTGTAACCAGCGCTAGTCAGAGCTCAGCTGGAGCCCTGTGTCCACTTCTGGGCACCCACTATGTTTTTAAAACACAGAAACGTTGAGTGAGTCAGAAGGGATCTCCTGGGCCATCTAGTCTGACCCCAGGCTCCAGCCGGCTTTGCTCATGAAAGCTAGAAGGGGTGGAGAGAAGGGCAATTGATCCGGGGACTGGAGGCAAAGCCCTATGGCAAAAGAATGAGAGAAATGGGCATGTTTAGCCTCAAAAAGAGAAGGCTGAGGGGTGAAACAATCGCATTCTGAAAGGCTGTCTTGAAGAGCAAGGACAAGGTCTCTTCCATTCCAGAGTGCAGGGCACGGAATAATGAACTTAAGCTGAAAGAAACCTGACTTAGACAAGACAGCAGGGAGAATTTCCTGACTGTCGGAGCAGTGCAACAATGGAGCCCGTCACCTGGGGAAGTTGTGGGCTCTCCCACACCAGAGACGTTCGGAAAGCCCCTGGACAGCCCCCTGAACGGGGTGCTGTGGACTGGACCCGATGGCCTGCTGGTCCCTTCCGACTCGACTATTCTACGAGTCTCGTTTTGTTCTCCGTCAGGAGCAGATCTTTTGCAAAGGCAAGGGGCTTCACTGCCCATTCAAGACTAGGCCAGCTCTCGAAAACTTTGGATTACGAAACGGAACAAAGCATTACTGCTGGGCAAAACAAGCAAACAAACAAGCGAGGGAGGGAGCGAACAAACAAAGAACCCCCTCCCCGTGCAAGGAACTCACCGGTGAACCTACAAGTAGTTAAGAGGTTAAAAGCGAAAAGTTTGCAAAGATCAAGAAGAGAGAATGCGCAATCAAACAAACGATCAAAGGACGGAAGGACGGACGGGAGAAAGAAGCACACAACCCCACCACACTCATGATCGTTTCCCCCAAACATCTCTCACAACGTATTATAGCGAATGCAAGCGCTGATTAGCAATTTGGCAGTCGACCAGCAGATCCGCAGGATTCACGGCGCTTCCCTTTCAACCAGTAGTTCATACATGATTAATTAGAACATCTCATTTATGTAGTGCGCACTTCAGTTCATTACTCTAAGTAAAATTTGTTAAGTATTTACATTTAGATAATTAAAATCCGGGTACACCCTTAAGAAAGACGCACAGGGTTCCCCGCGGAGAGGCTCTTCTTTGCCTCGGCACAAGAAAAACAGCGGAACCAGAGGCTCCCCCCCCGCCCCCCATGGGACGGTGAGGACCCCTCCCTGCCGAGCAATGCACCCCGAGAAGCACTGGGGTGGCAGAAGGACGGCCACACAGAATTGCTTTGTGAAGGGCGATGGGGAGGGGGCTTTTCAGACCTTGACGCTCCTTTGGGGCAGGGACAATCCCACCCCCTGAGTAGTTCCTTCCCATTCGGGAGCCAGAAACATGTGTGTCACGGATCCCGTCCTGGCCAGAGGAAGACAAGCACTCTTTCCGACCTGGTGGCCTCCAGAAACTGGACTACAGCTCCCAGCAGCCCCAGTCAGTTGAGGTCCGAATGATTTGGAAAGCACTAGATCGGGGTGGCTGTCCAAGGCCTGGACACGCTCTGCCGGGAGACCACCCTGGCTAGACGGGTATGGGATACGGGGTGGGTTACTCTGGAAGGATGGCCAGGGGGTCCTCTGTAGCACCGTGAACCGTCACAGTGTCCAAAAGCCAGGCGGGTTTCTTGAATCCACACCATGTGCTTCTGGGCTCCAGCTTGCCAAGGAGAGGAGCGGACGTCTCGCAGCTGCCTTCCCCAGTCGTCCTGTAGAGAAGGGCTGCTTTGGCTGGGAGAACGGGGCCGCTTCCTCGCAGAAGCAGGTTTGCTCCCAGGAAGAGGGGCTGGGGCCTGGGTGTACTGACAGCCCCAGAAATGGGGGAGAGAAGAACTCTATCAAACCCATGGCAAAAAGTGCTGTTTCTTATCCTCACCTCAGGGACCAGAATGGATACGCTGCTCCCCTGGGGAACTCTGGAGGCCCATGGAGCATCCCCGGCCCGCTCAGGGAACCAACGTGGCCACTGAGACGGGGAATGGAGCCTTCTGTGCCCCTTTCCATTCTGCATCCATATTTCGGCACTGTGTCCAGTCAGCTGCCACCTCACCCTTGACACAAGCAGTTCAGTGGGATCTCATGGGGGGAGAGTCGGTTGGACCCATGGTCCACTTCGTAGGGGGGCCAAGGCTCAGTGGCAGGGCATGACAGTCGCACGCGGAACGTACAACCCTGATTCTGGCCCACCTGCACTGCCAGTGCGTGTATTTTTGAGCCCAATTCAAGCGGCTGCTTTTCACCCACATGGCCTGATGCCACTATCCCTGAGGGGGCGCCCCTCCTGGCGTCGATGTACCCATACATTACCTTCCTCTTCTGAAGTCCTCTTCCAAGTGGCTCCTCTAAGAAAAGTCGGGGGGATTGAAACCAGGGGCAGGGTCTTTTGGACAGTGGCCCCTGACTGAGGAATGTTCTCTCCAGTGCAGCCAGCCTGGGGCCCACAGAGCCATCTCTCTGGTGTGCTGCTTCCCCAGATATTTGACCGCTCACGTTAAGTTTTTTAATGGGTCCTGGGATTTCCCTTTACTGTTGATCAAGTAAAGCCATTTCATATTTTTGAATTGATATTTATATGTTTATATTATGCTTTATGCTGTATTTTTAAGCTGATGATGGGTGGGACTCGTGGGTGGGACTTTGTCTGGGGGGGATTGTGGCTGTATCTTATTATTGAAATTATTCATTGTATTATGTATTGCATCATGTATTATACTACTGCATTAAGGTTTGTTTGATTTTGTATCACTTACAGTTAAATATTATATTGCTTGATTGTATGGTTCTAATGTATTGTATTTTTATGGTGGTGGTGTTGCTGTCGTTGTATTGTAAGCTGCCCAGAGAGCCCTGTGGGCTATAGGGTAGCATATAAATGTAAGGAATGAAATGAAGATTAAAGGAATGAACGAAGAAGGGTTTCACTTCTGCTAGGGATGTCAGCAAGCTGGGAAGTTTGGCTCATTTGCACTCAATGGACTTTTAAGAGAGATCCGAGGCTGGTCAATTTTTTTTGGAGGGGGGAGGGGATCTGGCAGGCTTTTACATCTAGGATGGGTGAGGGTTTGCACGTTCTTTTAAAGAAAGTTTGTCCAAATCAGGCTACTTGCCCAATTTCAGATTTTGTGCAAATTTATCCCATTCACACAAACAATGTTAACTTTTGTGTTCTGTGCAAATTTTCATAAAATTGCCGGATTTGTGCAAATGAGCCGACTTGATGCAAACTTTCTTAGTGCTTTTTTTTTCTTGGTCTTTAGATGCACAAATCACACCTTACCCTTGAGATAAACACCCGTGAGCTTGCACCTTTACATGGCAGTGCCGGCTCAGGTCCAGCAAGCCAGGATCCAGGTGCCTGAATGTCCCGTCCCCCCACCAATTAGCTTCCTCACATCCTTAACTTCTGCAGCTGCATCTCTGTGCACGAGGCCTGCTGGATCTGGCCAAAAAGTCCCGATATCCTGTTGTCCACAGTGGCCCATGAGGTATCCTCAGGAATCTGGCAAATGTGGCTCAAGACTCAACAGCCGGCAAGCAAGGCCCGGGGGCAACCAGCCATGCAAGGCTCTGGCCCTCCTGCCGGCAGACCACAGTGCAGGACCTGAGTCAGCCTCTGCGGCTCAGAGGACGGTTAGATGCCCTCTTCACGCACTCCGGGCACCTCTTAATCTCCCACCAATTGCACAATTCATAGAACAGCCCAGGTTCCAGCATCGGCTGGGAGGAGGGCAATCTTGGCCCGCATTCTCTAGAGCCGTCTTATGTAGGAACGGTAGAATCTTTCATTTCGAGGGCTGATGTGTAAACGCTTGCAACTTCCCCTAGTGCATGCCTTCGTGTGCACCGTTTCCGGATGCGTGCGGCTGTTCTGCATACCATCTCCCTCAATGAATGCGTTTCTGCACACGGTAAAGGAGAATTCCGCTGCCGTTCACAGATTAGTTTGCTCACATTTCAGCCCGATTTCCCCAGCTGGGGGCCTCCCTGATGCTTCGGACTACAATTCCTAGCCTCGCTGACCCCCGGCCTTGCAGGCTGGGGCTGGTGGGAAATGGTGTCCGAAAGCTCTGGGAAGCCTCATGGCAGGCAAAGACGGCTTCTTGCCCATCCTGGGAGGGAGGCGGCATCAAACCTCCGAAGAGTTTTGCGTGCCTCCCTCGTGCCTTTCCCGGCTCCACAAACAGCCTTTCGGAGCTGGGGCAGCCAGGCGATACCCGCGCAGGCGAAGGCGGGTTCCCAGCTGCTTGGGGAGGTTTGGGACTCTTACAATACTTTTGCCTACAGCAAAAATGTATTTCAATGTAATTATAGAAGATAGCTTTCAATATGTCATCTCTATTATAGTAGCTGTAAATTATGAAGGGAAGCATTTCTCCTGGCAATGAGAAAGTGGGGAGGGAAGCTGATGGCATGACACACTTTCTGCAGGGGTGGATTTCTCCCCCACACACACACACACACCCTCCTCCCTGCTGCTTTAAAGTGCATTCCCTTAACTGGCAACAAATGTCAAAATCAGATTCGGGGCAGGGAGCAGGGAGGGGAATGCAGCGAGACTGGCAACGCCGGCCTGTGCTGCCGGGTGCAAAGAAGGAAAGGCCTGCATGGAAGGGTGGCGAGAGACGGTGGCTCTGCAGTGACGTGGCCGCAGTACGCAGCCACGGTCCAGAGGGGCAGGATTGTGGCTGAGGCGGAGGGATGGAGGCAGCGACGGGCACGCCCTGGTCGCCCGCATGCCACGCTCTGAGCGGGGCTCTTGGGTCTCCTGGAGGGTCGCTGCGGATGCCAGCACCAGAGTCCACCCTCAGCCATCAAGGGCTTGGGCAGGAATGGCCCTCGCTCCACTGCATCACGCCGGATGAATCCTTGCAGGGTTCTGTCTCCAGCTCGGGCCCTCCAGATCTGAGGGGAGCCTGGCAAAGGTGGAGGCGCTGGGGACCGATCCCCGCACCTCGCTCTTGCCCAGCACCATCTGAACGCAGGTGCACAGCCTCCGTCGGCAAGAGGGCCGAATATCACTGTGGGGATGCCCTCAGGGGCCGCTTCTCGGCAGTGGGGGGTGCCAGAGACAACGGCCCTGTTTGCAGAGTCCAAACAAACCGGCGGCGGCAGCTTGTGGCTTTGTGCCAGATGCTTAAGTGCCTGTGGAGGGGCATCTAGACCTATGCAAAAGCTGGGGAAGCACCTGGTGGGCAGTGGCTGAGTGGGGGGGGGGGTTGTCCTTTTGGGGAATCCCGGACTGTGCAGCCTGGACTGGCCTCGCCATCAGCTACCTCAGTCATGAGACCTTTTCATCCTGGAGAGAAGCGCAAGGGGCGGTGACGTGGCCCCCAGGCCCCTGTGCCAGGAATGCGGGCTTCACCCGCTCGGCGGCTTCCATGGGACAAGGGGACCCAGGCCCCAGAACCAGTGAGCTCCCTTGTTGCTGTGCATTTGCGGCGGCGACAAGGTGAAGGGCCTTTTCAGGGGCGGCCCCCGCCATGGAACAAGTTCCGCAGGGCATTTAGTACATTGCTGGGGCTTGGTGGCCGTTGGACAGGGTTGAATGGGGTCTTTTCAACTTACGGTATTTTTTCCTGTTTTAGATTTGTTTTAAATGTTACATTGTTAACTGTTATGATACTTTTACATGTTTCAATGGTGGATTTTATGCTGTTTTGCTTTGTTTTGAACAGGCTGTTGCGAACCGCCCAGAGAGCTTTGGTGGTTGGACGGAATAGAAAACAAACAAACAAACAAATGCTTTGCCATTGCAGCTTTGTGGCTTTTATATTAGGATATAAATAATAGGATAGATTGCATTTTGGAGTTTGACTCTTTGGCAAACGCTGGCTATTGGGCGAAAGAGAACTATAACTAGAGCAGCAGCAACTGCTACCAAGACTTGGGCCCCGTTATCGGCTCATTCCCAGCGGAATCTTGGCTTGTGGACTTGACTTGCAAGCACTTGAGGAGCCAAGGAAAAACCGTCTGTGCAAAGGCTGCCGTGATTGTTTGTGCCTGTGGTGGCGTGGGGTGTGGAACACACGGCCCGATTGCGACAGGGATCGCTTGCAATGCTTTCTTGACAGGGGGGATCCCTCTCTCCCTGCAGTCACAGTTCGGGCTGCAAGGAGGGCCAGAGGAAGAGCGGATCCCGGTGGAGGTGGAGACCACTTCGGCCCAAAATTCAGCCAGTGGAATTCCTGCAGCAGCCCTGTTCAGCCGATGCGGAAACAGAAGGGGCCACGGGGCTGGAGCCGTCTGCGTGTCGCGAGGCTCACTGGGGCATGCAGCCGAAAGCATGCTTACAAGCACGCTCGACGCCCCCTAACCCACGGAGGTCACCCTTGAACTAGATCGGAGGAGATTCCAGATGGAGCCGCACAGCGAATCCAAAGCCCGGAATTCACTTCTCTTTGGCCACCCCTCCGCATGGCTTGAAAAAGGGGTTAGGGAGATGGGGCGACTAGTCCTCATGCTTCTTGGCCACCTCCAGGATCATGGCACGGGGCAGGAGGGGGCCGGCGCCCTTTTCTTGTGCTCGGGGGCTAGCTGCCCCCTTTGTGAGCAGAGTGCCCGGCTGCACAAGCCCCCGAGGGACCCAGCGAGGCCTTTCCTACCTCCGTACGGGCGATACATGTGTGTGCGTGTGTGTGTGCACAGACGACAGTGGGTTTGATAACGGTTGCACGCCTATTGTTCTGCAGCACACCCGCCCCGCTGCGTCTTCTTCGCCTGCCCCCCGTCCTCTGCCTCGCTTCCCTGCTGGCGCCCCTCCCACGCCTGTCTGCCCCCCACCACTTCCACCTGTAACAACCACCTTTCAGAAAACTCGCGGCCAATCGAGGAGCAGTGCTCCCGTTCGCCCCTCAGCCGCGGAGACAGCAACGCTCCCCCGACAAGCCGGTATGAGACAGCTCGCTGCAAAGCACGGGGAAAATTATCATATTTCTGTACGGGAGACACTGCTGGGTGTCGGCGGCAGCAGGGGAAAACTTGCGTGTTTCACATCAGCTCTGTCTCTTGCTCTCCCGGCAGCGTGCCCCCCCTCCCGCCCCCTGACTTTGCCCACCCCACCTCCGTTTCCTGGGGTTTGGAGGGATGGATCTGACATTTCAGCTGAAACCTTTCCAGATGGAGCTACGGGGCTTGAGCGCAGGGCCCCCTTCCAAATGCTTACATTTATTACAGTCAGAGGCTACAAGGCCAGGGAACCGAAGTGCCTGCAACACTCGGAATTCATGCCTGCCCTGCTCTGTCTGCGGAGGCTTCGCAGGCGTCGCTCTCGTAGAAAGCGGGCTTCGGGGTTGCCTTGGCTCCCCGAAGATTATAGCAAGAGGTTTAGAGAGCTGCAGGAAGGCAACTTGCAGGCTGGGAGTAGACGTCCGCCTTTCTTGGCTGCAATGCATCTCGCAGAAAATGAAATGTGAGGGTTGCACCCGCGCGCACACACACAGCATGTGTGGAAAATGTGGGGGGAGTTTCTAGGGGCCAGTCAGACGCTGACAAGAAAAGCCAACATAGTGGCCGTTCTGTGTGCCTCGGTGTTGCACGCACGACGTTGCGACACGGATGCTGAAACGGGCGAAAATATACCCTAGACCAGCCCCAGCACCTTCCGGGGAGGAGGGCAGCCTTCGGTGAGCCCCCGTTGAAGAAGCGGATGTGGGACGGGTGGTGCTCCAGTTTTGTCCTGCCTGAGGAAGCCTGGCTCGGATGGCCAGCCGTACGCCACGGGCCTCCACACAGCCGATGGAATGCAGACTTGGAGGGGAGAGAAAGGTGACCTGGGCCAGGTGGTTCAGTCTCCCCTGTGAACTCCCGGGAAATGCACAGCGGAGAGAAGCGCTTCTCAGCCTGTGCACAGAATAATACCCAACACCCTCCTGGAGCACTGGACTACTACTCCCATCACTGGCCCTTGCTGGTTGGGGATGATGGGTGCTGTTGTCCGGCATGCTTCTTTATCTTTATTTATTTATTTATTGGATTTTGAGCCCACCCTATTAACCACACAGGTCCCATGTTTAGAGAGAAGGGGTCTATCTTTCTTCCTGGAGTAAACACCACGCAAGTGAGATACTGAATCAGTCCTGAGCCAGCCCCCCATTTGCAGGATGGGGATCATCAAACTGGATGCCCAGCTGGTGAACAGGACCCCACCCCCCGTGTATCCAAGGCCCCCCAGGAACGGCACGAACTCTGTGGAACAGCACGGCAAGCATCTGACCTGTTCGTACTTCTCCAGCTCCGTGTGATAGATTTGCCGGATCTGGGTCAGTTTGGCTCTGTAGTCTGAGTGCTCGATAGAGTTATCGGAAGAGCCTCCGGAAGCCGCTGCCGCCGCCGCCGCCGCTGCCGATCCTCCCCCTTTCTCGGGACCCGAAACACCCTCTGCCAGAAGCATATTGTCCAATCGCATGAGCTGTGGGTCCGGGGGGTCCTCTTCTTGCGCTCCTCGGATGCTGAGACCTTGGCGAAGGGAAGCGGGAAGAAGGAGAAAGCAGGCTCAGTTAACCTGTCCCAGACTGGGCAACCTGGATGCCTGCTTCCCCGGCTCAGGCACCTGAGGCAGAGAGCAGCTCCTGGCCAACTCGAGGCCGCTCGGAAAAATCTGCGGCACTGTTGTTCCAGTTCCGGATCTACCACACTCCCAGCTTCGAGACTGAACACAGATTTGGATGCAGTCTGAGCTTGCCATCTGCGTATTGGTCGATCGATCGATCGATCGAATTTCTATACTGCCCCATAGCCGAAGCTCTCTGGGCAGTTCACAGCAGCACCTTTTTAAAAACAACATAAAGCACACCACTGAGACATATTAAGGCATCAGAAAAGTTAGCGATACAAAAATTAAAACCAAATTTAAAACAGGAAAAACCCAGGCCGTTCACTCTCATCTGACAATGAGCTTGCAAACAGACCAAAGGAGAGAGACCAAATGCATGTACGTTTGACAAACACACGTGGAGAATGCGGCCTTTTAGACATGTGACAGAGCAACAGGGAAAAGTGCAAAGGTGTGTAGGTCTGGAAAAGTGGGAGTGAAGATACCCGTGCACGGAGTTTTACGCAAGAAGAAAACAAATACTGCCATCAAGTCGGAATCTGGAGAACTTCAGCAAGCTTGGCTTCTGCCGATTTGCACATCCCTAGCGAAAGCACGCGAACCTGTCCGCACTCTCTCGCCAATCCTGCGCTGTGCCTGGTGGGGAACCCCTTCACTTGCTTCATAGGCAGCCCCCACCCCGACTTTAAAGAGAGCTACTGATAAGCAAGGATACCTACCCGGGGCCCAGACTTTCCAACGAACCCCAATGCCGGCCTTCCCCACCCCGATATCTTCTCTGGCAACTGCGTTAGGGCACCTAATCATGTCACCCACATTGCTGGCGCTCGCCGGCTCGCTTATCTGCCGAAGCGCTAAATGCCATTTTCTGCCGGCGATACCCCTTCTGTATCACATAGAGGGCAAGCAGGCGAGCCTCTGCGGAAGAGCAAATGAGTACGAACCTGCCGTCAGAAATAGCGGGATTCGGAAAGCGGTGGCCGAACATGTTGGCTTCCCGGGACACTCAAGCCCTGCTCTTGCAGCATCCGTTGGGGAAGAAAGAAACTTCCCAGCGAGGTCAGAGAGAGCGCGTGCTGCGTTAGAATGTGTCGACAGGTCTGAATCAGAATGAAGGGTTTGCGGGGCTTGGCTTCATTTTGTTTTTAATCACGCTACATGGGGTAATTGGCTCATTGAGTGCCACAGTGGCGTCTGTGTTATCAGCAGCTACAATGCTGTGAACGGCCACTGTTAATAACACGATGGTCATGATGTTTAATGTCTACATTTCGGGTCCTTCTGACACTGCTGCCTGCCATTCCCCGCTCTCTGTAAGCTTGGGTGCATCTGATGAAGTCGGCTACAGTCCACAAAAGGTTGAGCGACAATAAATTTGCCTGTCTTTACAATGCCTCAAGACTTTCTGTGCTTTTAAAGCCAAGAAAGGGAGAGTACTCGGCTAGAAGCCGTTTCTAGGCGAATTGGTGCAGCTTTCCAGTCTCAGAAGTTGTCATTCAAAGAGGAAGATATAACTAAGTGCTGTGCACTCTTTATGCTAAAGGGGAATTAAGATCTTGCACCAAGGTAGCTAGAACTCCAGAAGAGATTAATTCTGCGACTCAGGGAAGTTACTGATGGGTCCGCCATCGGCTGAACGAAGCAGAAGCAAACTGCTATAAGGGGTCCCGTCACTAAAACCACCACCGAGCCTCGAAATGTTAAACGTGAACGCGGTTCATACCGGAGCCTGCTTAGCGCACAGCTCCCCAAGCCTGGTGGTGCCATGACACGTGCAACAGTGAAGAGCCAACACGCTGGTCCGGATTTGACAAGACCAGCAAAGTTCCTGCCTTCCGTAAAAGTTAGGATGGTTTGATGCTTGATAACTTATTATAGGCTGCTCTGGGAACTCTCTTCCGAGCTTCAAGTGGCTTCTTGTGGCCTGTAACTCGAGAGAGGTATTACTGCCACTCTATACGACTCTGGTGTGCCCGCAGCTGGAGCATTGTGCTCAGTTTTGGGCCCCTCGTTACAGGAAGGATATAGCCAGGTTGGAGTCAGTGCAGCGTAGGGCCACAAGGTTGGTGGCCGGTTTGCAGGGGATGGGGTGTGAGGCGAGACTGAGGGAACTGGGTCTCTTCAGCCTGGAGAAGAGGAGACTCAGAGTGTATATGTTGGCGACATACAGGTATGTGAGGGGATGTCACATGGAGATGGGCAGAGGCCTGTTCTCCCCTGCAGAGGAAGGCAGAACGCACTCCAACGGAGCCATGCTCAGGGAGCCAAGGTTCAATTTGGGTGCCAGGAAGCACTTCCTGACAGTCGGGACCCCGAGGGTGTGGAATGGGCTTCCCCGGGAGGTGGTTGAGGCCCCATCGGTGCGGGTGTTCAAGGATGGGCTGGACATCCACATGGTGGGCATGTCGTGAGCGGAGCCGTCTGGGGCCGGGGGTCAGTCTTGATGGCCCAGGAGACCCCTTCTGACTCGCTCTGTTTCTATGTTTCAAGTCTGGACAGAGAAGCTTAAAACGATTAAATCTAAGTCATGCAAACTTGGCACCGGTTTGGAAGGTTTGTACTCCATTCGCAAGTAACGGAAGAATGGTACAGCACAAGGATACTCATACAATACACAGTCTTCTGTCCAGTCCCATGAGACTATGGAATTTCACCAGCCATTGGCTAGTCGGTGACTCCTCCACGAGGATTAGCAACTTGACTCTCAGGATGCAAACTCTTTTGTGTCTGAATGCCAATGTTTGCGATTTTTGCGGGTGGTCCCCTGGTCCCAGGAAGGAGGTGTGTTTGTGCAGTAGGAGGCTCAAGTTGTGAAGAACAGTCTGTGTCCAGAGCTCTGCCCAAGAAGATGGACAATTACAAGGTCGTGCGCCTGCTGAAGTTAGCAAAACTTCCTTGGCTCTTGCCTAGCACCGCCATACAGGAAGTTCAGTGGGGCCATCCCTATGTTTGGGCAAAAATCATGCTCAAAACTGGGGACGCGTGAAAATGTCAACCTTGCTTTTCCTATATTTTGAAGTCAGTTCTGCCCTGTTGCAGAAAGTTTTTGCCTTTGGGTGGCATTAGACTTTGTACACATTCATGTGTACATCTCAAAACATTTGCATCGTATATTTGGCATGCATTTTTCAAATTCTGTGAGCTTTTGCAGGCAATTTTCCTTCCAATAAAGCACGCTTGTTTACCCTTCTCCATAATATCCAGAGCCATGATGCATTTCTGCCTGAGTTTCTTGATATGTGAACCCCACTTGCAAAGCGCAGATTTTGACTTTTACCTATGTGGACGTTTGCATGCAGTAGGGGTGTGGAAATGTTCAGGGGCTGAATTCCAGGGGGGAAGGGGATGAAGGCAAAAGGGAAGCAGCCCAAACCAGCTGCATCCTTAAGCTCAAAGCTGCTCCTACCAGAGGCTAAGCCTTAGAAGAGGGACGGTGACCTTCCTGAATGGGGAAGAATGCAGAAAAGCTGACAAGGCACCAAAGCACGGGGTGCCCAGGTCATCTGGGGAGCCTCAAAGATGCAAAGGACCAGATTCCTCCCCCCTCCCACCACCTCCAGCCTTCTAACTAAGATTAACAGAAACACTCAAAGTGAACAAATTCCTTCCCCACCCCAGATGACTGCCAGCCAGCAATTTTTCCAAGAGTTGGCAGAGAAGCCCCGGCATTTATGGACAGCAGCTACGGCTATATGGAGAATCTGCGACTCCTGCCCGCCAGGAGAGGATTCCAAAATGATGCCCATCACCAGTCTCATCTGACTATTCCAGTTCAAGGCTGACAATGTGTAGGTTTAATCAGGTCAGGCAGGCAAGCTGCCAAGACACTCCCAACACCACCGAAAAACACAAGTTGCGTGATAATTACGGCCGTGTTAAAGAAGGAGAAATCGCTAGAGCCGTGCCTCCGAGGATCGGCGTTTCGGATAAAGCTGTAACAAACCCTCCAAGTATCCCAGCTCAATTAACCTCTTGAAATTGGTTTCAAAATGACAGATTCCGCTCACGGTGGTGCGTGGGGGTGGGGGGCAGCCACCAAATGCGTTTTCCAGCCACATCACCTCCCGTGGTGCTTGTGGCTTTGCACACGCACAGTGGCAAACAGACTCTGTCTCTGGTGCAGCCGGCATGAGAGCCACATCCATAAACAGCCGAGGGAGGCAATGAACACTGCTTTGCGCATCCGAATCTAGCCCCATTTCCTTGGGGGTGGGGGGGGAGAGGGGGGAGGCACACATCTGTTTTGTGCAACACACCTGCATAAACACCGGCCAGTCCCTTGCCGGGGGCATGGCAAGTCCCTTTTTTATTTTAAGATGCACACAGACCCTGCCATCCACTGTCTTGGTGGCAAGCGAACCATCTGGAGGCAAAGTGTCTCCAGCTCTGCTTATCTTCGGTGTAGGCGATGGGCGGTCGAAGATCTGAAGAGGTGCCCCAACTTGAGGGGCAGCGAGAAGCACCGTGAGTCCTGCAGAAAAGAGCAGAAGGCTGGCTTTCCGGAGGAAAATGTGCTGCTGAGAATGGCATCCCCCCGGCCCTGGAGAAGAGAACCGGGCATGGCCGGAGGCAAGGCAGGGGCCGTAAAGTCGGCGGCCGTCGCTCCGTTCTCACCAGTGGGACTCTCACAGGGGCAGCGGTGTGCAATTGTGCCCGTCTTCCTCCCACTGAGCACCGCATGTTTGTGAGCATTCCTAAAAGGTTCTTGTGATATTTTTTTTAATAAACGCCCCCCCCCCGCCGCTGCTCTCAGAAATGCCAACATGTACAGGTTTGCAGAAGGCATCATGGGTAAGAGAAAAGTCATGACTTCAGTATGCAGCCAGGCATGCTCAAAGGGGGTCTAAAAGCATTTTTTTAGGAATTCGGATGGATGGGTGGATGATCCCACTAGGGTGT